CTTTTATTCATTATATTTTGACAAAATGCAATTTTTGTTAACATTTTTGTCAAAACACTATATTTGCCTTTTTCTCCTTAAACAACTTTTAGACTTAATCCTGGTTTTGATGTGACGGYTCACAAATAACACTTCAAACTAAAGCATTATCGTATTTTTAAAACGTCATTTAGTCAGAAACTTTGCTTTTTTTGTTAGTTTTATCTCAGTTTTTGCTCCATGACTCATAAGCAGACACTTAGCTTCCATCTAATTTACCAATTAATGATTATTTGAAGGAAAACATTGAAAAAAGTGCAAAGTTCAGCAGGTTTCTCCCTTTGTTCTTCAGTTTAAGAGGAGAAAACATGATTTAAGCTGTGAGAGCTTTCCCTTCTGCGTGGCTGCATCGATCAGATAAAAACGGTGGTTAATAATTCTGCAGAAAGGTGCGGTTTGAGGCCAAAAAGAAACGTTTGTCTCATTGATTCACTGTTTCTCTTCTTTTGTTCACAGATTGAACTGAACTTCACCCGTGAAGATGGGAGATTGGGGATTTTTATCGGTCTTGCTGGAGAAAGTCCAGTCCCACTCCACGGTGATCGGGAAGATCTGGATGAGCGTGCTGTTCTTGTTCCGGATCATGGTTCTGGGAGCGGGTGCAGAGAGCGTGTGGGGCGACGAGCAGTCCGGTTTCATCTGCAACACCCAGCAGCCCGGTTGTGAGAACGTCTGCTACGACTGGACCTTCCCCATCTCCCACATCCGCTTCTGGGTGCTGCAGATCATCTTCGTGTCCACGCCCACGCTGGTGTACCTGGGCCACGCCATGCACGTCATCCACAAGGAGAACAAGCTGAGGGAGCTGCTGTCCAGCCCCGGTGGGCCCGGGAAGCTCCGGCAGCCCAAGTACAGCGATGAAAAGGGACACGTCAAGATCAAGGGCAACCTGCTGGGGAGCTACCTGACCCAGCTGGTGGTGAAGATCCTCATCGAGGCCGGCTTCATCGTGGGCCAGTACTACCTGTACGGTTTCGTCATGGTCCCCATGTTCCCCTGCTCCAAGAAGCCCTGTCCCTTCACCGTGGAGTGCTACATGTCCCGGCCCACCGAGAAAACCATCTTCATCATCTTCATGCTGGTGGTGGCCTGCGTCTCTCTGCTCCTCAGCGTCCTGGAGATGTTCTACCTGATCTGCTCCAGGGTGAGGTGCGGATCCAGGCGTCGGGCTCACAGAATCGTCTCGGCAGAGAACCCGGCCCGCCTGTTGGGTCCGAAGTGGCCGACCACGGACGAGGCGCTGCGGCAGAACAAGATGAACATGGAGCTGGAGAGCAACCACAGCACCGGAGGCAGCCTGGACGGTGCGAAGGAGGAGAAACGGCTGCTGAGTGGACATTAAAACCTCTGATCCTCCGTGGAAACATCGGTCTTTGGGTCACATTTTACCCCCTTTTCCTCAGAGACTTTCATCTCAACACAACAAAAAACATTAATCATGTCTGCACAGAAAATTACACATCAATAAACAGCATCAAGGGGCAGATTGGTGTATTTTTTTAAACAAATCTTCTAATAAATGTGTGAAATACTGATATATTTATATTATAGACCAGAGGTGGGCAGTCATGGTCCTGGGGGGCCGCAGCCCTACATGTTTTACATGTTTCCTGCTCCAACACACCAGATTCAGTCTCTGAACTACCTCTTCATGTTCTGCAGTACGGAGGACCGACACTGACATAATTAGAAATAAAAGCAGAAATAGATAAAATAGATAAATGCATTTAAAATGCACCAAATAAATTAAAAATGAGAACTTTACCTCATGTTTTATCATTTAATTGACCTACATCTTTATTTTTCCAGCTTAGTTCCAATAAATTATATATTTTAACACATAATTTTAATGTTTTTTAATATATAATTTTTCCTTTTACTTGTACATGCATTTGTGTCTCTTGAATGCTTAAATTGAATTATTTTTATATTTTTGTCCAACAAGCCTTTTTATTTCCATGTGTTGCTGCAGTTTAGCTTAAAGTTTAGTTAAAATAAATGCACAGGTGATGTTTT